AACCGTTAAATCAATCTCGTATCAATAAAATCAATCTTCTCTGGTCAATAATATCAATCGGTATGAAATCATATAAAATAATCAAATCAATACATTACAAGAACGGTTGAAATCAAATTAATACAGTAAAACATATTCCATATCAGTCAATGAATCACATGCAGCAGTTCAATATGGTGTATCAATGAAGCGATAGTATCAATAAATCAATATCAATGAATTAATAGTATCCATGTCTATAGTATCAATAAGTCAATGCAATATCGATATCCATATCAGTATCAGTATCAATGCTCAGTGACATAATGCGAATATCAATGAAATTGTACAGTAACAATAAACCCGTAAATCCATTCAGAGTCAATAAATCAATAATCAATATAAGAAGTCCGTCGATATCAATAAATCTATAAATCCATAATAAGATCAATAGGTCAATATCGTACACATGCAATTCAATACAATAGTCTTACTGAACAATTACAATAACTGGCTATTAAGGTGTTTTTCAAGTCGATAATCCATTGTGCTGTTGTAGAAATCCATAGTGCTGTTGTAGAAATCCATAAATATATCCGTTGGTTCAATAAGAGTCGTCACTCTGTGCCCGTCGGCCGCCCGTCGGCATAATAATCTCTCAACGTTATATCAATGATCAATAGAGGATATCGTCAAACCCTTTTTAAATGAAATCACATCGGCCCACTATCATGTACAGGTCAAATCAATCTCCAACCAACGGTTCAACCAATCTTCACTTATGTTTCAGTAACAATAACAATAATTCAATCATATTCACATTCGTATGCATATCAATAAGGTATTGCAATCAATAAATACAATTTAGCTGAATGCATAAAAACCCCTTAAAATATAGTATAGTTGACATACGTCGTTGCAAAAATGCACAATTGCCGAAAATGACCGAATTACCAGAAATCGAATAAAACAACGTTTCTAAGCTTTACTTGTACTGAAGCAATAATTTCCAACATCCTGATAATTTTCTATTCGATAAAAATCGCACAGAACTCAAAATAACCGGTAGAAACTTTACAGAAAATACTCAAATCGTGTAAAAATATCATATCAGAAACATATCAGAAGTTGTGCGGTAAAACTTTCGTCAATACAAAATTATGCACGTTTTTCGGTAACAGAAACACAAAACTGAGCACAGAATAATCAAAACTCGAAATCTTCGAAATCAGAAATAGGATTCAGATTCCTTATTTCGAGACAAACAAATATTCCAACTGCGTCGTCAGACGAAAAGCGCTCCGCGGCCTCCAAAATCAAGCTTTCCCTTCTCTTTCTCTCTCCTGCCTTCTCTTTCTCTCTCTTCAAATGAATCAAAAATATCTCAAATCCGATACTTATCAAGCAGGATCGTCCAGGACGATGCCCAGATCGTCCCGGGACGATCTCCTCTGGACACAGATCGTACAGACGAAATTAATTCCAATTTGCTTCGTCCCTGAACGATGCTCTCGGGTTCAGTTCGTCCCGACGGTTCGTCCCGACTGTTCCAGGTTCGTACAGACGAAACATACAGATTTCTTCACAATTTCTTCAGTTCGTCCCGTACTAAGACCAGTTCGTCCGGGACTAACATCACTGAAAAAAATCAGTTTTTTTAAGGGTTTTACATCGCATGGGCTCAAGTTGTGCTGAATCAGTTGCTTATTAAAGCAAATCTTCAATGACGTTATGTAGAATTGAATACTCATTATGACTCATGCGGTAGTATGAAGATTGGGAATCATGGCTCCTGGAACAAATTTTATTTGATGTTGTAGTGAACGCAGGGGCGGCATACCGGAAGGGAATTCAGTGGGAAAGAGATCTGCAAATTGAGTTAGTAGCTTATTTGCTTCGTTCGAGTAACAAGTAGGAGATACCTCCTGGTGATTGTCTGTTACTACTGTAGACATCAAGGACCTGCTGTCTTACCGAGACTGGACTAATAGCTTACCAAAGATAATGTATGCCACACCTATGTATCGGAGCCATTTCCCTTTCCATTTAAGGGTATACACATTTTGTCAGCAATTATAAACAACATCCATGTCATATTGCCAGGGTCGGCCCAAGATGAGGTGCCAAATGTCTATGTCAAGTACGTTGCACAAGAATTCACACACATAGTGTTTCCTGATTGAAAACGTGGCTCGACACATATCGGTGACTGTCACTTCCATTCCCTTTCTTATCCAACTAATCTTGTAGGGATGCAGGTTACTAGTAGTCTTGAGCTGCAGAGCTTGGACTATCGATCGAGAAATGACGTTCTTGGTGCACCCACTATCAATTAGTAATTCACAGACCTTCCCTTGAATCGTGCATATAGTTTTGAATAGAGCATTACATTGGGAGTGGTTTGGGGTCTTTGGTGCTATTAACAAATTTTGTAAAATACAAAGCAATGGATCCCCCTCATCACCGTAGACATCTTCAACACCAGTTTCAGACTTTAGTTCAGCAACAACAAATTCGACTTCCGCACCATGTGCTTCCCCCTCTATGAGATGGATTCTTTATTGATTTGGACACTCATTGGATTTGTGTCCGAGTTGGAAACATCCGAAGCATTTAAGAGTAGTAGGCTTGTTGTATGGATTTTCTCGATGGGGAACTAGTGCCTTGCATTGGTTTTTAATTTCAGCAGTTGCATTGGGGCTTTGATTAGGATTTGTAGGAACTCGTGAAACTGAGGTGGGTTTCATTGCTATCGAGTTTCGCTTCGCTCTATCCACAAAAGATTCAATATAGGTCCGTCTACCAATGTGACTGCGGGATTGACGAACTAGTTGTGTCTCAACTTTCAGAGCAAAATTAACAACTTGAGTGAGTGTCCAAATCAAATTAAGCTCAAGTTTGTCATTTATCAGCTCCGTCAATTCGCCAATGTACCAAGCAACAAGCTGGACTTCAGATTCTTGAAGATTATTGCAAGCACTCAACCGATAGAATTCCTCCGTATACTCGCTTATGGAACGCTATCCCTGCAAGCAATGCTGATATTGTAAATAAAGTATTTGTTCATAATCTGTGGGCAAGAAATGCCCCCTAAGGAGTTGTTTCATATGAAACCAATTATGGATTGACCCTCTTCCTTCCCAGCGACGAGTTTGCAAGAGATGTAGCCACCACGCACTAGCGCAACCTTTTAAACGATAGACCACATACTTAACTTGCTTTTCCGGACTGATTTCCATATAATCAAAAAATGCTTCGACAACCCTTTCCCAATCAAGATAATCCTCTATGTGTAATCGCCCTTCAAAGAAAGGAATATACATCTTTATAAGGAACTCTCCCTGGCTACCTTGATTTGTTCTGCGGTGTCTCTGTCGTTGATAATACTGAAACTGATAGTCGTTTCCTGAATCAGTTAACTCATGGCAGTTTTGGAAATCAGCCTCCTCCTCAGATTCCATAACCTCTATTAAGGCCGGCCAAGGTATTTGACATTGTCTTGCTCTACCTTGAGGACCTCTCGGCCTCGGCATTGCCGCCGTTTGTTGTGGAACTTGTCCTAGAACGTGGTCGATTGAGGTTTTGAGGTCCAACATGTCGTTGCGTAGATCTGTGATAGGTGGAAGAAGTTCTCCCTCAATTCATTGAGTTGCCAATTGATGCTAGTTTGCGCTACCCATATGACATCCAAGCTCCGATCGTCATCAGGAGCCTTACGAGAACTCTATGCAACCATCAACCCAGTCGCTTGCTCTAATATCAACCTGGTGTACCTTCCCGCAATAAAACACCGGAGCTGGGGCCTTCAGCGGAGGAGTGCCAGAGATAATCTGCAAGAGGGTTAGAGTATAACAACAAATAGAACAGTGATAGTTGCAATATTCTTTTTCATATATATCTATGATTTAGTCTTTTGCAGATGCATATATATTCTTGCCGCTGCTGTATTTGCTATTTTTAAATAAAGGAAAAGAGAATACTGGAATATGTAATAACAGAAAGCTAAAACAGAAAGTGAAGGGATGCTGCGGTAGTGGAGAGTGCCATGGCATAAGGTATTCATGCGGGTTATGATAGTCCCATCATACATCATCAACCATTTTTCATTTCCGGCAATGTTTTATTGTTGTTGACACCTGACATCGAGCTTGGGCTAGCAAACAAGGCAAGTGATGTGAGTCGTTAGCCAGATTTCGATGCAATTGCAATGATAATTGATACACATGGCTGCATCTTGGAAGAGGATGGATAATATCATCATCCTCAAACTCATAGAGCCACCACCCCGCGAGCCTTATTGCACCCGCGCGTGCACAACCCGCCGCAATCTCTAGTCGCCTGATATAGGTTAGCGGGTCAGGTCCGGGTTGAGATTTTGGACTCATTTGTAAAATCGGGGGGAATTAGGATCAATCAGTTTAGACTCGGATCAATTTTGTTGGATGCAACTTGACCCGAAAATCATTTTGACACGCCTACAAGACCACATAAAACAGAAAGTGAAGGGATGCTGCGGTAGTGGAGAGTGCCATGGCATAAGGTATTCATGCGGGTTATGATAGTCCCATCATACATCATCAACCATTTTTCATTTCCGGCAATGTTTTATTGTTGTTGACACCTGACATCGAGCTTGGGCTAGCAAACAAGGCAAGTGATGTGAGTCGTTAGCCAGATTTCGATGCAATTGCAATGATAATTGATACACATGGCTGCATCTTGGAAGAGGATGGATAATATCATCATCCTCAAACTCATAGAGCCACCACCCCGCGAGCCTTATTGCACCCGCGCGTGTACAACCCGCCGCAATCGCTAGTCGCCTGATCTAGGTTAGCGGGTCAGGTCCGGGTTGAGATTCTGGACTCATTTGTAAAATCAGGGGGAATTAGGATCAATCAGTTTAGACTCGGATCAATTTATGTTGGATGCAACTTGACCCGAAAATCATTTTGACACGCCGCCGACAGGACCACATATGGTACAAGAAAGCTTAAATTACTCTTGCGGGACACCGGAACGTGCACTGGATTTTTCTCGTTTTATCTGCCGGAGTACTTTTCTTTTCGACTGCCTCCGCCGTGCTTCTTCTCAATATAGCTTACACGATTGCTGGTGTGGAGGGCTCGCCGTTTCTTGATATTCTTTTAGGTGGCGAAATTTCGCTATCTCGCTTATTGTGTAAGCGCTTTTCTTTCTTATTCCCTTCTTGGTTTTCGAATGTAGGGCTTCTTTCAAGATCCACTTATTTTGATCTGCGGGCACTTTCTGTTTCTTCGGGTTTTTTCGTTGATTTATCGCATTACAATATTCCACTAATTCCCTGCACAAGATCAGGTTTTGTTTGTTTTAGTGGTATTTGAGATTTAATTTGTTGAAGAACTTTCGTTTTTTTTAGTGTGAAAATTTTGTCTTGCTGAAGCAGCAATTGGCGAGAGCATACGCAGAGTGACACTAATTTACTTAATCCGAGACAATGAGTTTCGTTTTTCGGGGAAGCAGAGCAGATATTGAAAGCGGATTCCCGGGTTTTATCCCGGAAAGGCGGGTCATGGTATGCTGATTGATACACGCTGATTTTTTTTTTAGAGTTATTCTTGCAAGAAGATATTGTGTGATAATGGTGTTAAAGCTTTTTAATTTATTTTAACAGAGGATGCAACCGGGTATTCGGCCTGTCAATTCCAATTCTATGGCTTTCCTAATCGCTGGTATTGTTTTTCTTTTATTTGTTGAGAATATGGTGAAAATAGCTTTTTATAGCAAAGATATGTGACATGAAATATTTAATATTTTGACTTGATGTTGGGACAGTTATTTTGTTGTTTTTGATACTGAATTCACATCAGATGTCACCCAATTTCTTGGTATGTCTTGACAATGTTGAATTGTAGTTATCTTGGCTAATGTTGAAGATCAGTATATCATGGTTGATGATGGGCGTGTTTTATATTCTTGTAGCTTTGGCTGGTTTTGGGTATTTTTATGATGGCTACTGCATTAAGGATGTATGCTACGTGCCAACAACTTCAAGCTCAGGCACATGCAGTGGCAGCCAGCGGCTTGCTAGGACATACTGAATTGCGACTTCATGTTCCTTCCTCTATTGCTTTGGCTACAAGAGGAAGGTTGCAGAGTCTTCGACTCCAGTTGGCTCTTCTTGATAGGGAGTTTGATGATTTAGGTATTGATCAGTTTGTGTGATTTTATCAATTTTAGTTTTGTTGTGGGCTTTCCTAAAGAAAAAAAAACATCATCTTTATGGTTTGAATTGTATATTTGTTGTTATGCACAGATTATGATGCTTTAAGAGCACTTGATGCTGATAGCCCAGAAATTCCTTCTATGAGTGAGGAGGAGATCAATGCGCTTCCTGTTCACAAGTACAAGGGAAAATCCCGTCAAGGATCTGCGTCTTCCAGACAAAGGTAAGCTTAATTCCCTTTTATTGATTTGATGATATGGATGTGATATAATATGCCTCTGGCGATACAAAGAATCTTGAAAAAATGGTATATGAGATATCAATGCATAAATTTATACACATGTATTGTATGAATGTACCTTATATAATGTAGTTTGAAACATATATATTATAGAAATTTAAATGATGATTATATGGTATAAGACTAAAAGAATTGTAACAGCTTATAAACTAGTTGAAGAATTGGTATAAAGAAAATTGGAACCATTCAAGCTTGACATTATCCTATTAGCCATATAAGAGGATATTGGCGATTTATCAATATGTGAAGGGTATTAGTCTATCTTTTATTAAGGATTTGTTCTGTATAATATATGATTAAGTTAAAACTAAGTAGTGTTTTTGCTTCTTAGCTTATGTGTGCTATTCTTCTTTTTTATCTTATAGATTTGGCTTTATAAATGAAATTGGTGAAGTTGGGTCTATTGTTATCTGTTTAAATTGAATAGCTTTTTTTTTTTTTTGAGATATATATATTTGCTGTTGTTTTAGTTTTGGAAGCGTTGATGGAACTTCACAACAGCTAGCATCATCATCTTCAGGATCTCCTATCGAGGTAGTGTTTCATTGACTTTTTTGTTTCTTCTTTGGGAGATTGACCTGTGTAGCACTAAAATCTTTTTTTATTTTTAAAGCTTACAACCCAATTTTTATATTGAAATATAGATATTGTGTATTTGTGTGGGATACAACCAAATCATTATGAAATTAACAAATCATTGAGTATGGAATTTTGTTTTTTTTGTGCTTTTCATTATGCTGGTGGTATTAATGTTAATAGAACCACTTAGATACTATTTATTTTAATATTGAGCATAAAATAGTCCCTTCTTTTTTCTAAACATTGGGGCTTTTTTTAAATGTTTTTTGCTTTCAAAGAAAAGGGACAAGTTACTCTTTCTTGGTTGAAATATTTTATGTTCTTGTCTTTTAATCACTTGATGGAATTATCTGTGATAAAAACAACGGATTTTAGAATCTCATTTGTGAGTTTTGAGTTTCCTGCATAATTTTAGTATCTACTATTTTTAGATCCTCTCAATTCCTTAAGTTTTTCATGGCTCAAATTGATACATTACAATATGGATGCAATATATAAATGTGTGCAAAATAGTTTTTCCCAATCGATCTAAATAGACTACGGTATGACTAGATAATAATAGAATTATATAAGTTTGAATGATTGGCTGAAGTTAAATAAAAAAAAGATTTTGTTTATTGTTTTGCAAGATAAGATAAGCTCTAAAACAAGACTAGTAGGCTTATAAAATAAGAAATAAGGATAAAATACTGATAATGTAAGAAGATTCTATGAGAGATTTGATTCCAAATATTTAACTTGCGATATATTCGAAGATTGTCCTCTATGAGCAGCTCTTCGTTGTAAAGTGAATCCTCTTTTCTTGAAAGCTATTCTTCAAGGGTAGTCCTTCACTTGGGGTGGAAAGCACAAAAGAACCGTGAATTGACCTGCCGGCTGGTCCGGTTCATTCCCAAAATAGGTTTCGCATTGGACCGGTTAAAAACGGTTCGAACCGTTGGTTTGACCGGTTAACCGGCAAATCGAATCTATTTATTTATTTTATAAATAAAACATTTTTTTATTAAATTTTTGAATAATAAATGATATAACATGAATTTATAGATGTAATTTTATAATATAAATTTTGTATAGAAATTTATAGGTATAAATTGTATCTAAACCTATTACTAAAATTAAAAATGATTCATATTAAATTTATAAACTTATATATAAAGTAATTTTCTAATAAAGCTGAATTTAATTTAAAGATAAAATATGTTTAAATTTAAAATTATATGTTATATTATTTAAGTATGAATATTATTTATTTATGCCCCAAATTTACATTATTTCTTTATTATTTTATTATTATTATTATGCTATTTAGATGACATTTAAATAATTTTGATATTTATTATTTCAACCTGTTCAACCTCTATTCGACCCCGGTTGAGCCATAAAACCGTAAACCTTTCCTTCTTGTAGTTCATTGTCCGGTCTGATTTTCACAACCTTGGATCTCCTATTAAATTTGATTCTTTTTTTTTAATATTTTTTTTTCCTATTAGATTTGATTCTCATATCAAGTTGCCTTGCACTTAGGGTTCGCTATTTGTCACTACCCCTTTATTTTCAATAGTTTGCATTCCTTGATCGAACTTATTCTATTATTTTGTGTCTCAAAATTTCATAATATCAAGGTCTCTTTGTCTCCCTTGTATGATGTGAAAGTGAAACCCTTCTCTGATAATGAAATCTTTATCAAATTTAATGGTATCAATTATCTCTTATAATTGAGGGTCTTTCATTTTCTTATTGATTGTGATGACAAAACACTCATCTTGATACACATCCTCAGCTCATTGATTTGATACACATCCTCAGCTCATTGATTATACCGTTGAGTTATCCAGATGATAAGTGTTTGATTATGTAGTTCTCACTTAGTTGCTGAATAGTCTCAAATCTTTTCTTGCCTCCACAATAATCTTTCATGAGTCTGCTAAACCAATATGGGATATTTTTAAGTTTTACTTATTCTAAAAAAATTAACATCTCTATGATATATTCCTTATTCTCTAATTCGTTTTCTTTAAAATAGAAAAATATGTCCATACATGATTACTATATTGGCCCACGGGGTAACTTGCTTCAGTACAAGCCTTTTTTCAATGATCCTAAGTCTTAGAAACAACATATTCAGTTCGTTATTGAAAATTTTTTCTCCAATCTTCATCCATCTCTCCAACATGCACAATATAAGCTGATGGTCAATTCTTCTATTCTCAATCTTGTAACTACTCTCTCATATAATCTTCATGTTATTGAGTTATTGCCTTATCCACCATCTTCCGATGAGATCACTCTTGCTACAAGGCATTGTGTTAATCGTGATCGAGGAGGCATAACTAATATTGGTTGTGGTCAAAGAGGGAAGTCTTTCGTTCCTTGCTTTCATTGTGGTTGTACTAATTATCCTGTGAAATGATGCTGAGCCAAATTTGGTTATACTGTTACTGCTCAACATACCTCTAAAACATCTGTACCTACTAACTATTCTCCCACTACTATTTCTTTTGGTTCCGTCATGCTTTATCAAGAGAAATATGATTGCTTGATTTAAAAAACTCTTAAGCCTTTGTTTTACATATTTCTCCTAAGGTTTTGTTTTAGCATCTCTTTAGGCATAGCTTGGATTTTACATTTATGAGCTTCTTTCAATATGATGTAGAATCATACACTTTTCTCCTCTCTCTACATGCCCACACTTCTTTGCATGATTTTGGTTGATTGTTCTTGCTTTCCTGACTACGGGAAAGGCATTGTGATTCCTCATAAAATTTCATCGATTGTCAATATTTTATGTCCAATAATTTCCTATAAATTTATTATTCATTCATTGATTTTCTAAGACCTATAATTTTTCTAGTATTCCGATCGCATATTCTAGGATTTCAACTTGAAAAAATTATTGGTGGAGATATTGAAGCCTTTGGCTTCTTCTACATAATGATTGGTGTTTCTTATGCTCTTTCCTTTACTTTTACTCCTTTTCATTGTTAATATTGATTGTGTTATACTCATTTGTAGACTTCGATATTTTTCTTTTGGTCTTTCATATGTTTTCAAAATTGTCTGTCATGTATTTATCTTTTCCATTATCTACCATTGGTTCTTTTTCTTGCATTTGGAGTACTAATCAAGTTCTTACTTGTTTAGGCTTTTTCTATCCTGTTACATTCATTGATGATTTATGATTTTTTATGAGTTAAATGGGTTTTCTTAAATGTTACTTTGAGATTCTTCATGTATGTCAAATATCTTATCAAGTAAAAGTTCAATTTTTCACCATAATCAAAACATTACATATTGATAATGCTTCATAATTAATGCAGTCTTAGTTTTACCTATTCTGTTATGCCAATAATATAATTCATTATACTTTTTTTCCCTTTATACCTCAATAGATTGATTTTGTTGAACTAAAAATCACCTCATTCATGTTGCTTGAATATTGATGTTTCACTTGAATATTCATCATTTATTTTAGGAGAATACAATCTTAATCAATTACTTTCTCATCAATTGAATACCTTTACTGCTTCTAAACCATATCTCACATATCTTCAATCTTTATCTTGAACAAACTACATTGCCCGTACACCAGCTCGTTTAATAAACTTTTTCCTCAAGCTATTCAATATGTTTATCTTAAGTACTCTCGTACTGAAAAAATCCATCCATCATGCTATGTTCCACTTATATAAAGAATGCATACATTTGTCGTTAGGGAAAGATCAAAATGGTCTCTTGATTCTTTATGAAGGATCAAAATGATCTCCAATTATATTAAATGAGCTTTTTGGTTCCTCAAGTCTTTAAAAAGATAAAGAGTTGAGAGACCAAAATAGTCCTTTAATATATTTGAGGATTATTTTGATCATTTATAAAAAAGTTAATGTACCATTTTGATACTTTTCTCTTTGTCGATATAACCTTTCATGAGATTTTACCCCTTTCTTTTCTTCCACATCTTATTTCTATTATCATCTATTCCTCTCCCTACATCCACATGAATAATACTTTTGTTGTCTGCTATCTCCATTCATGATAACACCTGCCACCATATTGTCGGATTCTACTTATTAGCACCCACTAGCTGATGAGTCCTTTGACCTTCATCTTCATATCGCCCTACGAAGAGGCAAAAGATAACGCACCACTCATCCTATTTACTCCTATCTATCATTTGATTAGTTATTCTTTTTTTTTTTAATATGTTGGTCTCTTTGTCATTTATATTTATTCCCATGACATATCAATAAGCACTACAACAGCAACCTTGTTGCAATGGATGTGCTTTTCAGCCGTCATGTTTGGGATTTAGTTATTCCCCCTCTTCTTTTGAGGCCAAACTAATTTTCTATTGATAGGTCGTCGTTGTAAAATTTCATCTTGATGGATTGACTGCTTGTTATGAAGCGTGATTAGTTGCAAAGTGGTTGACCTAGGTTTGTTGGATCAATTATTTGACAAATTCTCCCAAGTTACACACCTAGATTACTTCTAAATCATTTTGTTTGTGGCCATAAATCAAGGTGAACTATTCTACAAATGATTTTAAGTAATGTATTCAATTATTTTGATTTGCATGTAAACGTCTATGTGGAGCAACCCCCGAGATATGTTGCCAAGTGGTTCACCTATGTTTGTTGGGTTAATTATTTGACAGATTCTCCCAACTTGCACACCTGTAGTTCATCTAAATCCTTTTGTTTGTGGCCATAAATCAAGGTTAAAGTATGCTACAAATGATGTTAAGTAATGTATTCAATTATTTTGATCTGTATGTAACCGTCTATATGGAGCAACCCCGAGATATGTTGCTTAGGGGAAATAACTGTATTTTAGGAAGGGCTATTTATGGCCTTAAATAGTAGACCATGAGCCTACTTGATAAAATGTGCAATGTTCTTGCTTAGATTGATCTTGGAAGCATCATTATATATAAGCATACTTTTGTAGGATTCATG